CCGCTCAAGACGTCCTCGGTAGTTCCGGAGCGTTTCCTCGGCGCCACGAGTGATTCCGGTCGCCGCGCAGAGCATGTCGCTGTCGTACGCGTCACGACATACTAGACGAGTGCCGGGCTTGACCAGCTGCGTGCGACGCTGCGTTGGCGTCGCCCGAGCGGCGCGCGAAGGACTGCCGCCACTGGGAGACGGCCTTCGAACGCCCCGGGCGGCGCGCGTCGAAACGTGCGAGTTCCGCAACCAAAGCACCTCAGGGGTCGCCCAGGGGTACGAGGCCTTCGTCGCCACCGCCCAGGCCCGGAGGGACGCGCACAGAGCGCCGACTGACACGCCCGCGGCCGCTCAGCTCTCGACGCCGGCCCGTATCTTTTTGTCCGACCAATGGGAAACCAGCTTTTGCTCATATCGACGCCTCCCAGGCGCGGCCAAACGCGGTCCCAGCACCAGATTTTAATACAGGATCCCCGTCAGTTACCACCTCCGAGTAGGAACCCAGGGTTGCCCGGATATCGGCGTCGCAGAAGTCGCAGAAGTCGAAATTCATTTTCCGTCAGCCCCCCCTTGGTTCAGCGCGTAGAATGTGGCTGCAATTTGTTGGGAGTTAACTCCGAGTCCCACGAAGCTGCTCTTGAATACGCCAGGGCTCGTGATTGTGGCAGAGGGTCTACAAAACTGGGTTTGAGAGTGATCCGAAATTATACCGGACTTTGATCGCGATGGGATAAGGCCGAGTAGATCCAGTGTTCTGACACCAGCATCGGGACAGGCTTGCTGGTAGGTGAATCTTCCCAAACACGCAAGAAGCCGCGGTGCATCGATCCGCAGGTCCATGATTACTTGCTGCGCACTCTCAACCTGAATACCAAGTGCCCGCCTGGAAGCTAAATGAAGCGTAAGGACACGATAAAGTTCTGGAATACGAGGTCGCTTATTTGGAATCATCTGAAGATTCAAGCACAGTTCCAGCTCATTGCAGAGTTCGTAGGAGGCGATCGCCGCACATTGAGGCTCACTGAGTACCAGCGCTGGGAACATGTGAGATATTTTAGATTCTGTGAAGCACGAAAGCTGCTGAAAGTCTTGGCTGCAACCCGCAGGGCTTCCGGCAAATGCAACTGCCCGCGTGGTAGTCATATTATCATCACGCAACTGTTCCCGAGCTTTGCATTGAAGCCAGCTATCCCAGACTAGGTCTGCTGCATCTGCCTATACATGGAATTGTTGTGAATCAACAACAGGGCTCAGGCACTGGCACATGCGTAAGTCGATTTGGTACCGTTGAATAGTTTACAGTTCTCAACCATGAGTTTGACATCTTGCTCGAAGGCAGCCAGTCTATGATAAGACTGCTGGGCACAACTTATCTTTGAACGCACGATGCTAAGATCCATTGGCTGGCGAATAACTGCAGAATAACCAGTCACCTGGGAATTGGCCATGTTTAGGTTACGCGAGGCTCTCATTTCAACCGTATCCGACACCGCAGATTACTACGTTGTCCGTCACGGGGAGAGCAAACAGATTCGACGTGTCCGTTTTCTTGAGCTGCATCCAGCAATGTTCAAGGCTTGTCTGAAATTGCCCGCATGCTAGCGTCGGCGACTTCTCGCCGTTTAGTATGGATTTCAGTCGACTGATCGCTGCATCATCCCACGCACCCCGTGAAACAGCTCCATCAAGAACAGTCGCAACACGTCGTGCCAATCCAGCAGCTGGCACTTTCAGACTGAGCACGACATCGATAAATAATATTGGATACAATGATGAACGGCCACGGGTCACATCATGCTTGAGTCCACGCCATGCCAGTACCGCAAAAGAATTGAGGAGGGTACCCTCGGTATGGCCTACCAGATCTCCGAGTGCCGAGTAAAGATGGGGATCTGCAGCACGACGAGCTGCAGATCCACCTCTCGATGTTGTCGAACGTGAAGCCACGAATAGATTCTTGCGTACGCCTGGAGCGACACTCGAGAACCATCGTTCAACAAGTGATGCCAGGATCATACGAAACCGCTCAGGAATAACCATGCAACACCTGAATAACATTCTTGATCAACGCGAATTCCTTATAGTACGCAGTGCAGACTTCCAGCGAACAACTTTGGGCAGCCTCATAAATGCATCCTCGGGCCACTTATGAAGTGCACAGGCCATATTCGCTGGCATTTCCCCCGGCCAGGTCTCTGTCAGTGTCACAGTCACTGGGTGGAGCTCTGGTAAACATGAAAAGGCCCAGGATGACTCAATTAGCGAAACGCGCACATTATAGCCCAAATTTGGGACTACCGCCTCGAGACGACGACGCAATGCGTCGACGACTGCTCCTCGAGCAGCTGCACGGCCACGCCCGCCATGATTTGCATCCAACAATGAAAATGTCCCCTCAACCTCTGATAAAACGGTGCCAGTATCAACAAGGTTTTTCGATTGCCATGAATGCAACGCTTGTATAGGACTCACCGCCGCCTGCACGAAATGATCCAAATAACTCAACTGGATACACGCACCAAAGCAGAGCGCAACCCGGCCATGCAAGTCACTCAAGCGGCATAAACCCTCTCCCAAGAGCCTAGCTAGATCTAGAGTTACAGTTTTTGTTTCCGTCCACTTGGCCTTTCATATCTCCCACTAGCCTGAAGCTAAAGGAAGCAAGGTAAACTCCTCCCACAAGGGGGGGCTGAGCTCAATTCAGTTAAAGGTGCCAGAATGAAGGCCGCCGGACCGCGCTTGGATGGCGCAGCCACCTCAGCGGGGACGGAGGGGGGTAGGGCAGGGCGGGTGCTTCATTTTGGATGGAGCAGCCACCCCAGCCACACTCCTGCACAACAATGAGGGTAAATGACTCAGCCCTTCAAATGCGATTTCGCGTCGCGCGTCGACTGTGACGATCCGCGCGTCATGATCGCAGGATACCCGTACTTGGCGCGCCTCGGCCCGGTACTCATACTAACTAGCGGACGGAACGAGAACCTTTTAAGACGAAGCTATGGTTCGAGCGTCTTTACCAACCCCCAACCACGCGATAATGCGGAATCATGCAACGATCCCAGTAGCTTCGAGCTCCGCTAGTGTGAGCCTGATGCACGTGCGCAGACGCGAAGTGCTGCCGGTCGCGTGGTGACTCGAACCGTCCTTCGGGGGCTGGGATGGGGCGCGTTTGATCCCCTCGACCCCATTTTGATGTCTATCGACCTCTCGCAGCATCGGAGATCGTATATCACCATCCCCAGTCAATTCCCTTCAGTAGGGCTGGGTTGGTCGGTCGTCGCCGCCGCCGCCGCCGCCGCCGCCGCCGCCGCCGCCGCCGCCGCCGCCGCCGCCGCCGCCGCCGCCGCCGTCGTCACGCGCGCGTGGAAATTCGAACCCGCAATCAAGGGCAGCGGACGTCCGGAGATAGCATTTCAATTCTACCCGGGAAGGGCGAATTCGTACATAAACCACACGAAGCGACCGTCGACCGAGGGGCTGCCCCGTTCGACGTGAAGGTGTCCACCTGACAACCGCGTAACGCGACGCGCGCATGATGTCGTGGACGCTGAGACGCACTGTACCGTTACGCGGTTGTCAGAGCGACTCCGGACCCTCCCCCGGGGCCGCGGTCGCAGCCCATAACGTGCGCAGCGGCGCTTCAACGCGATTCAATTCAGCGTCCGGGGGTTAGTATGTGCGGTAATACCCGGGCCGGGCATATGGCCCTCGGTAATACCGCGGCAATTACCGGCAATTACCATACCGGTATTTTACCCTGAGATTACCCGCCGGCTATACCGCCGGACGCCGCCGGACGCGCGCCGGACGCCACCGGACGCCGACTCAGGACCTGACTCAGTCAGTGCCAGTGTGCGAAACAAAGTCGCTCCAACAATTACCTGGTATTTATATCTTCAACAAAAAAGTAAACACTGCACAGCAACTTGAAGATACGCTACACGCTTGCCGACCGGAACCAGCGACCCGCACTCTCAAACTTCCTTGATGAATACGGTTAGCGCGCAAACTTGCCTTACCATCTTCGGCGTGGCCATAATTCGCCAATTTTGCTTAGCCGCGGCGCAGGGAAGGACCGAAGGGGGAGAGAACAGCGAAGGGGGGCGTAGGGAAGCGTCACGGGAGGACACGACTAGGGCGGAGGCGTACGCGAGCACGGCGACGAAGAGGGCACGACGACGTAGGGCGGCTACTGCTCGTAGGCGACGCCGAAGGTCCCGCCGGTGCCGCGGGCCGCGCGGGCGTAGGCCGCGTCGCGGGCCCGCTTCGCGGCCGCGTCCCGGCCGTAGTCGGGCCGCGGGATCGACGACGGGGCGCCGATGAGGCCGAGGCCTTCGATCTTGATCCGCGCGACCGCGCGCACGGAGGCGACGCCCCACTCGCGGTAGAGCCGCTGCTTCTGGATCGACTTCGCGTGGTCGAGGCTCGTGGCGCCGGCCTCGACCCAGGTCCGCTCCGCGATCTCCTCGGCGGCCATGGCCAGGACCTCGTGGGCGCCCTTGCTCAGCTCGCCGAAGTAGCCCGCCACGAAGCCGACGACGGAGCCGAAGGATCCGAGGCGGCGCTCGAAGGGACCCGGCGAAGCCTCGTCCGGGTAGAACTTCTTGTCGAGCTTCTCGGCGTGCAGGCGGTACTCGCGGTTGATGATGCCCGCGCGCTCGTCGCACGGCAAGGTGCCGCCTCTGCGGGCGGGCGACCGGCCGTAGCGCGACTTGGCGAAGCCGATGGTCTTGACGTCGGCGAGCTGCGCGGCGCGGCCGCCCGGCACGAGCTTGAAGTCCGGGACGATGCCGGCCTTATCCCGGGCCCCCTTGCCCGCGTGCTGCTCGAAGAAGGACGTGGCCGCGTCGGCGGGCACCAGGTCCGCGAAGACGCCGAGGACCTCCCGGTCGTAGGACACGCGCGCCTCGCGGAGCGAGCCCTCGATGACGGTCGCGACGCTGTCGTGCCAGGCCGTCCGCACGCTCTTGCGGTTCAGGATCCTGACGTCGGTGAAGAAGACGTGGCCGAAGGCGTCGACGACGCTCGACGTGTTCTGGATGCGCCTCGCGACGTGGGGGATCATGCACGGGCTCTTGACGCCGAAGTAGGTCGCGGCGACCTCGGCGAACTCGCCGTTCGTGAAGGCCGCGCAGCCCACCGGGAGCGTCGTGAGCCAGGCCCTCGCGGCCTGGTCCCGCGCCGCCTCGGCGGCGCAGTAGGGGAAACCGTCGATCGCGAGGTCCGCGAGCTCGGCCTTGTAGGCCGCGAACGCCACCTTGTCGAGCTCCGCCGTCAGGCGGTGCTGCATCTTGGGGACGCGCACGCCGCCGTCGCCGACGCCCGCGTCGGCGAAGGGCTTCGCGAGGAGGCCCTCGTGGTCCTCCTCCTCGGCCACGGCGGCGACCATGGAGTCCCAGGCCGCGAGCATCTCGACGGCGGTGGCAGAGAGGAGTCTTTAAGCGGCTAGCAGCCTACTAGGGGTGACTCCTCGCCAAACGCACCAGCTCTCTCCCTTCCCTGGCATGAGCACGTCCACGAAGAAGCAGCCAGCTGGGGACCGAGGCCTCCCTCGGCGGACCATGCACCGCACAAGGCGCGCAATGGTCCAATGCTGATGCGAGCCTGCGGATTCGAACTCGGCCAAGAGCCCTACACCGCAGCCGCGCTTTCCGCGGGGCTAGACTGTACCTTGAACCGGCCGCCAAAGCAGCCGGCCCGCCTCCGTGCAGTCGTTACACGCCGCTGGATTGAACTGGTCCAACGACGCTCGGGATTCCCGCCCCGCCAGCTGCCCCATGCTCCTCCGGCACAGTCAATGGCAGCGACAGGTTCTGGTCGACGGTGGTCACCGTCGGCCGGCGGCTTCCCCCGAACAGGAGGCGTCGCTGCGCGTGGTCGAAGGCGACCGCTTCGCCCGCTAGCCTTCGCGGCACCGCCTGGCCGGCTAGCCGCGTCGGCCTGCGCGGGCGTCGCTGCGTCATCACCGCGCTTCGTCCCTATTCCAGGCAGGCCGCGAAGCCCGCCCGTCTCGGGCGTCCGCGCGGCTCCCTCGGCGTCAATTTTGCCTCTGGCCCTGCGGCTTGGCCGCACGCGCGGCCGATTTTCAGGAGGTGTAGTACACGTCCCGCCCGCCGCCGGCGGGAAACAATAATTAAATATTAATTATTTAATTCGAGTGGGCGCGCCTAGGCGTACGTTGTTTCGCACACTGGACTCAGTGAGCCGGACGCCGCCGGACGTCGCCAGACATCGCCGGACGCCGCCGGACGCCGGCGCCGGACGCGAGTCCGGACGCGGCCGGACGCCGACGCCGGACTCCCGGAGGCCTTCCCGGACAACGCCTCGGACAGACCGCTGGTGACCGTCCGGACGCAAAGTAGCACTGAATCCTCCGTCCGACCAGGCGATCGCCAGGATGGCGTGGCTCTCCGGTGCAAACTCGTCCATAGCATCTGTGCGTATTTCGCGTGCATATGTTGGTTCTTATTTTGTTTTTTATAGATTAAAGCAAGGCACCGCGTGTCTGAGGTTCATATTGATGGCCTCGCGCTACTAAAGCTCGTCATATTCGGTGTCACGTGAGCTTCTGCTCTAGCATTCTACGTTACAGGTGAAGCATTGTCGCGATGCCCTTCCCAAGATGGTGGCGGGTTCGTTGCTTGGTTTGGATCAGGGATCGATCCTTGAGGTGACGCATTGTTTCCCATTTCCTACTCCAAAGTCTCGAGAAGAGTATGGAGATGGCGTGGAACTTGGTGATGGAGTGGATGATCTTGACGGTGAAGAATACCAAATGGAGATGATGAAGATGCTTCGCGAAGTCAATGTTGACAACAACTGTGTCGGGTGGTATAAGTCTATTTATGTGGGATCTTTTTGTCAGACCCCTCTCGTGGAAACCCAGTTTAGCTACCAAGAGAATCTAAGTGATAATTGCGTTGTGTTGTTGTATGATCCCGTCGAGTCAAGCCGCGGTGTTCTCAACCTGAAGGCCTATCAGCTTTCAGAACAATTCATAACATCGTACCGAGCAAAATCAAACTCCTTCGTGGCGCCATCCGCAATCCTAGTTGAACTTCCTCTTCGGGTTAGAAACCCTGGTCTCATCACGGCATTCTTGTATGACCTCCACGCATCGGGCCAACTTCGAAAAGAGCCTTCGAGCGAGCCAAATGCAGATGCAGCGCCACTTGAACGCTATCTTGAACATTGTTGCCAATGGGTTGATGATCTTGTTGAAGAACAAGGGAAGTTTCAATACTACCTTCGCAACGTCGAACGCCACAGGGATCAGCTACGCTGGCATAACAAGCGCAAAGCCGAAGGAGACCAGGAGGACGCAGATGCGCCCACATGGAAAAATACCACTCAACCTCCTCGTCTCGATTCATTACTCATCGCCATCAGATCCATCAATATTGTACGCAGATCGGTGCGCATTCTACCTGCGCTCTCTCGAAGCTGCACCTAAACGGCATTCTTTGCAAACTCGCGTGATCTCGCACGGAGAAATGGGCAGGCTTTGTCAGTCGGCCAGGTCATAGTGTCCTCTAACAGAATATGACTCGCATTGGGCCAGGAAACCATCCAATGAAAAGGAGCGCATAACGACATTGCAGCAAGGACCACCTCATGTGAAGTCAGCCACTTCGGAGGAAACCACCAAATCTCTCAGTTGAGAGCCTTGCTTGCATGGCCGTCGCACAGTGCAGGCGCGGGGGAGCGGCACGGGGGCGGCAGGCATAGCCTGGACACGAGAAAATCAACGAAGCTGAGCTCGCGGACCCCCCGGCCCCCGGTCGCCCTTAAGTGCCCCACGCTTGGCGCTATCTCTGTGGGGCGTGGGGTCCGTGCGGGGGTCCTAGACGGGGGTCCGTGGGGCCCAGGTTCCGCTTTGCCGTAAAAACTCTGGACCGGGGGCCAGCACCTAGGTTCCACTGCTTGTGCGACTTCTCAATTATTTAGGCTATGGCAGTTTATGCGCGCGCGCAGTGCTGCGCCGCGGCCTAGTAGTACTGAGCCGGCGCAATTGTTGTTCGTTGAGTAGCCTCGTGATTCCCCATCATCCCCGCAATTTACATTACCCTGCTCCCTCTCTATCGCGACGTCACACTATGGAGATGGCACTGCAGTTCCCCGTAACGTTAACATCAACGTTCCTTAGTACCCTAGTTTGGGGTATCTCTCTCTAGGTTGGTTCAGGCATATTCATCTCAATCTTGGTAAGACGCTCGTCAATTGATTTTGTAAGGTTGAGGATTTCGTTTAGCGTGTTGTTTAGGCTTTCAAGGTTCATCATCATCTATACTATATAGTATATATTTATTCTTATACTGTTTTTTACACACGGTATGAAAATGGTATGCCCTGCATGGAATTCATAACACTGCTGCGCCACCTGTGGCTAATTACGTTGGAATAAATGCATCCGCATGAAGCTTTGCTTTATTCCAATGACCCTGGAGCAAAAGAGTGGCCGAAACGAGCCCTATATTTAAGCAACATGTGGTCATCAGCAGGAGCTGCAGGGCAGTGTGTGGGCCGCAGGGCTTCACGGATGTGCTCGGAGACCGATGCAGCGGCTTGTCCGGTGCTCTAGGCGCCTCAAATGGCTCATATGGCACGATGTCCATAAGTGCAACATAGGCGTAGGAAAGTTCAACTTAAAATTACCACACGTAGCGTAGCAGCGTTATTAATTCCATGGATAGCGTTGGTTGTGAGCTTGTTTGAGCTCTAGAGCTCGAACGAGTCGATTCTCAGCACTCATTTTGTTTGTTGGTTGAGCCTTTGCAGCGAAACGACAATTAGGTGTGTAAGGACTAGTATGTCGAGGCTCAACTTGTGCTCTTGCACAGACTATCCGGCGAAGATGGTCTGCACCGCGCGGCTGGTGCCTGGAAGAAGTTGGTGTTTGACTCTGGTCGGCAAGGTATCGGATGGACGTGGGCCAGAACGCTGCGAGAAACTAGATGCTCTCTGCTTGCCAGTGGGCCTCGGGCGCAGTATTGGCAGATACGCACATAATCTCCAGATCAGGGAGTTGCAGGCGGTATTCAAAGCTGCGTTTCATGTTATTACATGTCGGCTGCACTCTCGAAAGCTGAGGCAGCATCTGCAATAGTGTCTGATAACAATGTAATGAGACTGCCGTCTTTCGCTTGGAAAATATCATCCAGTGACCAGAACTCGCAATCTTTGAGAGCCAGGTGTATGGAATGCTCTGGCAGACGCTGAAGAATGGCATCGGTGGCATTGATCGCGCCTGGTCTGCCCTCCATAGCATGGAGGGCAAGACCACCAAGGCGACGGCGCAGTTGCTTTGCGACATGCATTCTAGGTTCAAGCTCAAAAATAGTCGCATTCGGTGGGAGTCGTATGATGGGTTCTGATTTCCGATCATCAAGAAAGTTAGCTGCAGCCTTCGAGACACGATGAGGCCGGTGATCATTTTTGAGAACAACACGCCTATGATTCACTAATGCAGTTACGTGGTCTCGAGACTGACACAGCTCGCCTACCACGGGATCTTGCGTTTTGTATCGTCATGACAGCGTCTCTTGCAGCAGAGGGCATCGAGGAGTCTGCAGGGCGCGTAATTTTTGGAGATCATGGAGCTTCCGATTGGATCACCACAACAAATGCACATATATTTCTGGGAGACGAGCTGGGTATGCTCGTCTTTTGCGAACGAGAGGGACCACTGACTGCCGTTGGCGTGACTGGGATGCACTCTTTCATTGATTTTGTCACCAACAGTGCAGTCAAGAAGGGGGGGGCTGGAGTGGACTTCCGTGGTACCTCGAGAGCTTGGAGGTGGCTGAGTCTGGAGTGAGGATTGACGCCGAGAAAAGATGCGGGCACCATGAGCCACATATGCCTGTGTACTTAATTTGGTCTGAGGGTCCATGGCCTTGGTCAGTGTAGCAAAGCTCGAGGGCGGGAGTAGCGGTGGCTCTGGTGCAGAGGTGGACGCGATTCGAAGGGGTTGCCAGAGACCAAGCGCAACAGAGGTTGCAGCAGCCTAAATCTCATAGCTGGAACCACGTGCTGAGTTAGGAAACGATAATCAAGAATGTGTTCACATGACGCGGATACACGTGCGCCCCCATCATCCTTGATAGTAGTGGTGAGATTACCCGCCCTGTCGAAGAATGGCAGCTCCATGTCTGTCAAGCTCTCTGCCTCATCAAGAAAGAGTTTCATAGCCCTTCCAATGGCGACGTGGGCGCAGGCACGATCCACCAGGCGAGCAAGGTACGCATCCATGAGTTTGACCCCAGGCGAAGCAAGGGACGCAATTGACGACTCTTTCCCGATTGGGTTTGCATCAGCACAGCGCGCGAGGACCGCAGCCTCGACGGCCCGGAGCCTGTCCCGCTCAACGAAAGCAAAATTAGGATCAACCTCACTGCCATCAAGCGAAGAAAATGCACGGATACGGGCGTGCAGTAGCGCAAGTGCTGGTTCGCCGCATCTAACCTAGAGCAGCAAGTTTTACGTCCGAGAGCGCCTCAAACATGTAATGCATCATTGTCATCTATTCAAACTTCGGGCCGGACGCCGACTTCGTGCAACAGCAGTGCGCCGTGGGCGCCTGAGGCGGGCCTCTTTGAGCCAGGCTGCGTAGCTCGCGCCAAAACAATCATCACAGTGATCACATGATTCGAAAGTGACCTGATTTGAAATGATTCAGCGTTGACTGCCGGAAATTTCAGTGCGTCCCAATCATCTGTCAAATCTGAGCTATCCCAAACCATTACGCGACGCTGAGTATCACAGCAGTCTCTAATGCGATGTGGAGAACGTAGCGTAAAACTTTTTGAGAACGATAAGTTCCAACCTCAACTCCGAGGGCCTTGGCTTCGTTCAAGACCTAAGATAGAACTCATACTGAACAGGCAAAAGACAGACCCTGCAGCGAGCGAAAATAGGCCCAACGTCGCCCTGTCGTTTCGCACACCAAGCCATTCTCTCACTTACAACCCGCCTTGTAGTGCCACCAAAGGAATGATGAGCGCGACGCCATGCTCGCTTCCAGTTTTCACGGGCCACATTTGCCAACGAAGGCTTGGGCGTAGAGTTGGAAAGCGTTGGGGACTGATCAAGTTGTAATTTCATGTAAGTTGAGTCATCACACCGTGCAAGTTGAACGGCATCTCGCCACGGTATTAGCACTGTTGCCCCTGAGACATCAACTTCGCTGCTGGCTGCCAACGCACGCGCACATGCGCGCATCATGCAAGTTGCCCCAATCTCAGCTTGCTGTGTAATAGAGAGCGCAAGTGATATATGAGACATGCGCTTGAGAGCTTTGTGCCTAGGCCCACACTAGCAGTTCCCGAATGTGTTCAGCTCTGAACGACCGGACGCAGAGGAGCGCACTCAAGGACCGTATTGGCGAGGGCCTTGCAGAGCAAAATCTGCACGCACGACCCCTCGCCAGGGGATCTCTTAGACATAGTTTTCCACCTAATAGCGACGACTATCTTTGTTTGAATAGGCTCCCGTAAAATAAGCCAGGCGATACCCACCTGGCTCGAACCGGTGTCGCACACGCCATGTTAAGCGCTCGCACCTTGAGCCTCGTGTTCTCATTTACGGTTGTGACACAGATAGAGTGAGGTCGTTGCCGAGGGCATTTTGGAACAGCTACATTTGGCATGTCTTGGACTACTGCGACAAATTCAGTCACTGTGACCGTAGTCTTGATAGGTAGTTGCGGCTGTGCGGCTTGAGAATCTCTGGTAATCCGTGTCATGGGGACCCGACGAATGACAGGCGCGGGCAACAAGCTGGCGCGGTGGGGGCGCCAACCAGTTGTTGGTGGGTGCGCCCTATCAGACATGCAACAGTAGTATGCTGCGCCTATGATGTGTCGGCTCCTCAAATACCTAATGGAATGTGTAGTCTCGTCCATGATACAAGACTGGAACGCAAGCGACGGCTCTCAGCGGAGCAGGGAGGAAGGTAACAAACCAGGAAGACCGCGACAGAATATGAACTATTTCATAGCCTGCGTCAGTCCCATAAGTTGTGATGTGAGCCTTGCCCAGCCTGTGGTGTGTTTGAACGCTATATGCTTCGCGGAGTTGACATGCACCCGCGAGCGTGACTTCCACCGCTGAAGGCGGGGGCGGATCCCCTGTAGTTGCCTTTTTCAAAGCCCGAGGTACGGGAGGACGCACAAGCCGCAAGACTTTGCGTTCGTCGTATGCGACGAAAGGTGCGTCGAGGCTAGGATCATCGCTGAGGGGTACAGTCTGTGCGCCGTAGCGCTCTGTGAGCAATGAAAGTGGTCCAAGGCCATTGAGCAACGCCACACGAGCAGCCTGAGACCTATGACGCTGCCATGAATACGCTGGCCAGCATCAAAGACTCAGACAGTCACGCAACAACCGATCGGCCATACCAAACATCATATATCTTAGGCGACGCGAAAAGCTCACGAAGCGCCTCTAGCAAGGCCCCTCGCCGTAGGGCATACCGATGCCACGCGCGACAACTCCCGTGCGCCGTGCAAACGAAAGCGCTAGAGTCTGAGTCCTCGAGGCACTGACGCAGCGCGCCAAACAATGGGACAGCGGATACGGCATTCACTAGCGCCGACCGGAAGTGCGGCGTTTCGAATTCGCACCACGTGTCGCGAGGTGCACCGCAATTATTGCCCAGTCCAGACACGCGATCGTCACCCAAGCCGCGCAAACGCGCGTCCTGGCGCCGAGCAATGGCCGCTGGTACTGTGGGTGGGCGTAGTCCAAAGAAGAGAGCCCCGTCCATCGCATCGCACAGTGCTTCAACCCACACCTTGCCGGAGATCACACCCTGCCGTAAGAGCTCTTCGTCAGAACTCGTGTGTTTGTAAAGCGCTCTGCATGCATCGCTGACATCGCAGACGAGCGCATGCAGCTCTGGCGCTAAGTTAGCCTTTGCCTCTGCTGTCCCTGAAGACCATGCTGCCTTCACACGTGACTGCAGTAAGGAGCCATAGAAGGAAAGGGGCTTCAAATTGTGTGTGGAGGGAGAGCCACGGCGCCGTGTCTGTTCGTCTGCCGTCATCGATTGTTATTGTTTCAATGTTTTGCAATGTTTTGCGAGTCCATGTCGGCGTCGTCACGCGTGAAGACGGCCTTGCATGTTAGCCGACGAGATTTACACTTCAGCGGCGACATAAGAGGCTGTTATCGAATGACGGAGGGCCGTCCGCACATTACTACACACTCATTACATACATTTTCAACAGCAGGCCTTACGCCGGCGAGCGGCGACAAGCGAGCCGATCGGGCGTGATCCTGGGGCCGAGGCGAGAGCGCCTCGAGCAGCAAAAAATCGACGTCCTGCGACGCGCCGCGCGCCACCGCGGCCACGCCCCGCGCCGAGGCCCCGCCTAGACCGGGACGACCTATGGATCTATCGGTTTCCCGAAGGAATTGATCTACAACCATCCGCAGACGAAGTTGTTGGACGTTGCCGGGTTCTACTGTTTCGCGGAGGCCGGAGACGGGCGCCGCGCCTGCCAATCGCTGCGCGGTCTCCCCAATTTGCTTTTAAGCTCATCAGTGTCTTAGTGGGCGGCGATCCATCCTCTAAGTCGCGGCGTCAGGTGCTCTGGGCGCGCGCGATCGGGTCCAGACCGCCTCGGCGCCGATACGACGCTCGACGGCTGGACCGCGGGCTGGGAACAGTTTCGTGGCGGCTGGGGCCCGTACGGACGCGCCATCTATGTGTCGCATCGGGCCTGGGCGAAAGATCTCGTTTCACTGAAGACCTCCTGGCCCGAAGCGTCGCTCGTACTACTTCGGCCCGCGGACGCGCTTTTCTCGGCCGCGGCGCCACGAGCGGGAATCGGTGTGCGGTCTCCCCAATTGCGCTTTATGATACGTTCCTATCGACCCATGACCGCGTGGCACCTGCGGCGCGCTCGGGGGCGCGTGTTTCAGCGACCTGCCGGGCGAGTTCGCAAGTGGCCCGCAGCAGACGGCTCTGGTTCAGGCCTAAATTGGTAGCCTAAACGTCCCACGACGACGCGGCGTCGCGCGTCGTGTAGTTGCAGGACCCGCCGCGGCATTTTCGATGCGCCGCCGTGGTAGTTCTCGCAGTGTCAAGAGTCAATTTAGGTGAAAATGAGCTATTTTGAGCCCCTGGCGGCGCTCCAAGGCGCTTTCTGCCGCGGTCCAGCCGCTCGCGGCGGCGGCCGGGACCGTCGATGGACGGACAGGTCGCACGAACCTCGACCGAGGCCCGGACGCGGCCGTAAAGGGCGGCGGAGACCATTCGCCAATTCTCGGCCGAGACGCTTTCGGCGACCGTCGGGCACCTTGTGGGCGTCGGAGACGGTGTAGATCGCCGTGCAGGAGCTCTATGATGTCGAACCGCCCGGCGGAACACAGCCACGGTGATCGGTCGACGCGAAACGCTGCGTTTGGTGCCGAATTCATTCGTTTTCGGGCTATTTGAGGCCATTTGGGACCAGATCAACCTCTCGCACGCCGATTTCGCAACCCGGGGCGACTCCGATGCCTTGGCCCGCTCGTAACATTCGGTCTACGCCTTCGACGACAGCCAGCCCACCATCAGCGCCCACAGGCGCACCGCGGCTCGCGTTTTCGGTCGAAGCGTTTCGGCGCACGGCGGACATTCGCGAGTCGTCGAAATTTCGACACGCGACCAAAGATGTGTCGCACCATCGACTCGTACCATCATGGCGAACGTCCGGTTGCAAGAGCGCCGGAGAACTCGTCGATTCGCCGCCGCATGGCTGGACCGCCGGATGACGGCGTTTTGGGCCCACGCCGTAGGGGCGCGCGCGCGTCTTCTCCGGGGCCAAGGAGCTGGTCAGAGACGGCCCATAGGCCACAGACAACAGCGCAAATCGTGCGGGGCCTTCTCCGGGCCGGAAACGCGACGATTGCCTGCCTCCTTATCGATGATCATCGTCCGCCACTGCTCTTTGCGGCTCGCCGCTCCTCGCTCGCCGGCGTAATACTATTAAATTTTATTATCCCTTGGAGGCAGTTCGGAGCTATGGGCCTGCTTCTGCTCCTGACGATCGCAAGCGCGCGCCGCGCCGCGTGCCTGGGCCCGGTGCCGCCGGCGCGGGGGTTGTCGCTGCTGCGCCTGCGGTCGGGCGGCGGCGAGGCGGCGTCGCCGGCGGGGATCTGGAGCCTGAGCGCCGCGGACCTGCGCATCGCCGGGTCCGCGGCCTGCGGGTCCTACATCCAGGGCTACACGACGGGCGTGCTCGGCGGGTCGCTCCTCTTCCTCGTGCCGCGCTTCGGCCTCTCGCCGCGGGCCGTCGGCGCCGTCGCGACGGCGACGACGCTGGGCTCCGAC